CTGCAGGGCAGGTCTAGTCTTGACAAATTCCCTCAGTGTTTACTTGTCTGAAAGGTTTTATTTCTCCCTACCATAAGAAATTTAGTTTTGCAGGATACAAAATTCTAGGCTGGTCATTATTCTATTTAAGAAGACTGAAGATGTGGCCCCAAACATTTCTGGCTTGTAAGGTCTCAGTTGAGAAATCTGCAGTTAGCCTGATGGGTTTTCCTTTGTAAGTTACCTGATATTTTCACCTTACAGCCCACGGGAGTTCCTCCTTCATGTTAACTTTGGCTAATCTGATGACTATGTGTCATGCTGATTACTTCTTTGTGATAAATCTCCCAGGTGTTCATTGAGCTTCTTGTACCTGTATATTTAAATTTCTAGCAAGATCAGAGAAATTTTCCTCAATTGTTCCCTCAGACAGGTTTTCTAACCCTTGTGTGTTTTCTTCTTCACTCTCAGGGATGTCTATGATTCTTATATTTGGCCTCTTTACATAATCCCTTATTTCCTGTATGATTTGTTCCTTCCTCTTAATTCTCTGTTCTTTATCTTTGACTGACTTGTTTCATTTGAAGGTGTTGTCTTCAAGATCTAAGATTCTTTCTTCTGCCTGGTCTAGTCTATTCTTAAAACTTTCCACAGTGTTTTGTATTTCTCTGAATAAATTTTTCATTCGTAGAATTTGTATTTGATTTTTAAAAAATATTTTGATTTCTTTAGTGAACTTTTCATTCCTTTCCTAAATTTTTTTGTGGTTTCTTTGTGTTGGTTTTAAATTTTCTCTTGTATTTCATTGAGCTTACTTATAATACATATTTGGAATCCTTTATCTGACATTTCAATACTCTGATTTTGGTTGGTACCCATTGCTACAGAGCTGGTGTTCCCTTTTGGGGGTGACATTTTTATCTGATTCTTCATACTTCCAGAGTTCTTTCATTGATTCCTTCTCATCTAGAGCAGTTGTCACTTCTTATTTTTGAATTTCTTTTATTTAGATAAGACTTTTGTCTCTCCCTTCACTCATAAGGGTCTGTTTGTAGCATATGTTGGATAAGAATCTTTGGCTTTGCTTGTTGATGCTTTGATAGCATCTAGGTTCTGGGTTGATACCTTTGGTATGGATATCCCTAGTGTGGTAATTTGCCCAGTTGCTAGTTTTTTGTAGGCTGTAGGGATAGTAAGCTGTGTGAGTGGCCAGAATTCCTGTCTCTTTTTGATGAGAGAGGACTGGGATCTTTGAAATCCTTTCTTTTTCTCCAGGCCTGTGATCTTCTTAACAGTGTGAATTGTAATGGCATACCCAGTTTAATCTCTGAGACAGTATGTGGTACTTGTGAGTGAGAATCAACCACCCCCTGTATTATTGAGTCAGTAAATGCTGTAAAGGGTGTGCAAATTGACCTCCCTCTCAGTAGGTGGTGCTTGCAAAAAGGGACAAACTTTGATGTTGCTTCTGGGTCTTGTGGACAAATTCATGGAAACATACAACCTCCCAGGCTCAAACAGGAAGAAATAGAACTCCTAACGAGAATAATTATGAGCAATGACATTTAAGCAGCAATTAAAAAAATCTTCCAACCAAAGAAAGTCCCAGATCAGATGGTTTCACAGCCGAATTTTATCAGCTCTACAATGAATAATTGATAGCCATATTTTAGAAATTTCATAACATCAAATTTCATAACATCAAAAAGGATTTCATAACATCAAAAAGGAAGGAATCCTCCCTGACTCATTCTATGAAGTCAGTATCACCTTGATACCAAAGCCAGGAAAAGACAAAACAAAAAAAGAAAACTATAGATGAATATCCCTTATGAATATAAATGAAAAAATCTTCAATAAAATTATAGCAAACTGAATTCAGCAGCACATCAAAAAAATAATCTACCACAATCAAGTGGGCTTCATTCCAGGGATGCAAGGATGGTTCAACAAATATAAATCTATAAATGTGATTCACCATATAAAAAGAAGCAAAAACAAAGATCATATGATCATCTCAATAGATGCAGAAAAAGCATTCCACAAAATTTGGCACCCTTTTATGATAAAAAACTCTTAACAAAATAGGCATAGATATAATATATCTCAAAAGTATACACTCCATCTATTACAAACTCACAGCCAACATCATACTAAATAGGGGAAAGTGGAAAGCATTCCCACTCAGAACTGGAACAAGACAAAGATGCCCAATGTCACCACTTCTATTCTACATAGTGGAGGAAGTCCTAGCCAGAGGCATCAGCCAAAAGAAGGAAATTAAGAGTGTACAAATGGAGAAAGAGGAGGTTAAACTATAGATTTTATACTACAAGGCTATAGTAACTATAACAGCATAATATTGACAGAAAAATAGAGACATAGACCAATGGAACAGAACAGAAAACCCAGGTATAAAATGATGCACATATTGCCATCTGATCTTTGACAAAGCAGACAAAAACATACACTGGGGAAAAGAATTCCTATTCAATAAATGGTGCTGGGAAATTTTGATAGACACATGTAGAAGATTAAAACAGGATCGACACCACTCATCTCTCACAAAAATCAACTCATAATGAATAACAGACTTCAACCTAAGGCATGAAACCATAAGACTTCTAGAAGAAAATATTGGAAAAAGTCTTCTAGATATCAATCTAGGCAAAGAATTTATGAAGAAGACCCCAAGGGCAATCATAACAACAATAAAAAAAAATGGGACCTGATCAAATTAAAAAGCTTCTGCACAGCTAATGAAGTAATCAACAAAGGAAATAGACAATGTACAAAATGGGAGAAAATATTGACAAGTTATACATGCAATACAAAGCTAATAACCAGAATCTACAAAGAACTCAAGCAAATCAGTAAGAAAATAAAACCAAACAACCCCATTAAAAAGTGGACAAAAGACATTAACAGACACTTTTCAAAAAAAGATAGACTAATGGCAAATAAGCTTATGAAAAAGGCTCAACATCACTAATCATCAGAGAAATGCAAATCAATACCATAATGAGATATCACCTAACCCTAGTGAGAATGGCTTTTATCAAAAAGTCCCAAAACAATAGATGCTGGTGTGGATGCAGAGAGAAAGGAATACTTGCACACTGTTTGTGGGACTGCAAACTAGAGCAAACTCTATGGAAAATAATATGGACATTCCTCAAAGAACTAAGAGTAGATCTATAATTTTATTCAGCAATATCACTGCTAGGTATTTGCTCACAGGAAAAAAAAGTCATTTTATCAGAAGGACATTTGCATCAGAATGTTTATTGCAGCACAATTTGCAATTGCAAAGATGTAGAATCAACCCAAGTGCCCATCAATTCATTAAAAGATTAATAAGATGTGGTATATGTATACAATGTAGTACCTCAAAAATGAATTACTACCTTTTGCAACAATCTGGATGGAATTTTCCTAAGTGAAATATTGCAAGAATGGAAAAACGAACACCACATGTACTATTAAATTGGAACTAACTGATCAGCACTCATGTGCACAGATGGAAGTAAAACTCCATGGAAATCATGCAGGTGGGAGGGTGGAGGAGGTTGATGTGTAAAATCATACCTAGGTGTACAATGGACACTATCTGGGTGATGGGCACACTTATAAGTTTGACTCACGCAGTACAAAAGCAATCCATTTAACTAAAACATTTAAAGCCCCCGTAATATTATGAAATATGTGAAAATGAAATTTTACAGTATGTACTTTTATCAGTGGTTTGTCTTACTCAATATTTTTTTGTTAGATCCATCCCTGTCATCATACATAGTCTTAGTTTTAGAAACTACCTTTGAAGTTTAAGAAAAGTTTATTAACTGTCCTTTCTATTTGCATTGTTTATACCAATCTGAAATCTCCTGTAGCAATGTGAATACTTGTGGTACAGAGAGGAAGGATTGCAAATCACAAGGAAAAAAAGAACACAAATGAACATTTCGAGATTTTGTTGTATAAAGCTATAATTTTTAAAATATCAGTTTTGTTTATTTAGGAATATGCAGATAATAACATATATAAATTTCAGGAGCATTAAAAACTAAGTGAAGGAGTAAGACATAAAAAACTATATGCTATGCAATTCCATTTATATAAAATTCTAGAAGAGGCAAGACTATAGTGATAGAAAACAGATCAGTGTTTGTCAAGGACCAAAGATGGTGGTGGGTTGGGGAGCTTTACTGCAAATGGGGTGTGATGGAAATCTTGAAGTGATAAAAATGTTTTATTTCTTGATTGTCATGGTAAATATAATTTTTAAAAGACCACAAATAATAGTAAAAAAATTATAAACTCCTTAAAAATAAATTTTAAAAAGAAATAAGACATTTATGACATGAGAATAATAAAATCTTTCTGAACGATCTTCTAAGAATCAATAAGAAAAAGACAACAAATGTCTAGAAAAACAGCAAAAGAAATGCACAGATATTTCACAGAAGTGAATGTTCTCCTTTAAACATAAAAAGTCCTAAAATATTTTTAAAAGTTCAATATTATTAATAATCTGGGAAATTAAACTTTAAAACATTATGAGAAATCATTTTGTACCCATAAGGAATGAACAAATTTTTAAATCGGGCAATACCACAATTGGCAAGCTGTTCAGTAATGGGAATTCTTATTCACTGCTGGTGAAAGTATATTTTTGCCACTTTAGAAAACAGTTTAGCTTTCCCTATAAACTTCAATATGTACAAATACTATAACCCAGCAGTTTCATTAGGTACATAGACTCTAGAGAAACTGTTGCACCCTAGGTAAATTCTTGCACATGTTAGCCAGGAGCATATATCCATACAACGTTTACAAACGTTTTGTTCATTATAGAAAAAACTAGAAACAGCCCAAATATCCATCAGCATTAAAAGGGAGAAGCAAATTGTGGCAAAGTCTTATATTGGAATACTATAGCACAGTAAAAAATGAATTACCTATAGCCATACAGCAACATGAATGAATTTTGCAAGAACATAATTTTGAGCGAAACGATAAAGTCACAAGACAAATGTATCATTTTATTGTATTTATATAGAATGCAAAACCTGGCAAAACTAAGTTATGTACTACTTAGGGATATATAGATAGGTATAAAAGCGCCAAAGAAAGCAAGGAAATGATCAATATATAATTCAGGATATTTATTCGTTACTGCTCAAGGAGATCAGAGAGTTGCCATTAGTACGTGGCCTATACAAGGCTCTACAGAATAGTGATATTCTATCCCTTGGACTTGGTAGTATATACATAGGTATTCATTTGTTGCCCATTAACATGTATGTATTAATCTGCATTCTTTTTATGGACACTATCTATATTTTTAATTAAAAAATTGTGGATTCCAAGAAACTAAAACCAAATATTTCAATTCATCAGCTTAAGGTGCCTCCAAGAAATCTGAATTTTTGTCAAGTTCCCACAGTGATTTTGATAAAAGTAGTCTGAGGACCACATTTTCAGTATCTATTATTTCCATAGTTTGAACTCTTTAGTCTTGTAACTTGGCATTTCAAAAAGAGCTACAACATGATTAAAGAAGGCAATTTATAATAAATAAACAAACAACCCTTCCAATTCCAGAAATTATAATTTTACTATACAAGAAATCTAAACATTTACAAAAGAAAATGAAGTTTCATTTTAGACCATACTTGGAAAGTTACACAATAGTCTGATAAACAAATAACATCATGCAACATCTCCGTACCATGCTAGTACCATACAGAGAAAGAAACCCAGCCAACCATTTTACCACAGGTTGAGGCATATAGTACCTGAAAGTCAACCTAGTGCTCTCTCTATTTATTATTTGCCTATAAAAATATAAAACTCTGGCATCTTTACAAAACATGAAATTATTTTCAATGACATTTACAGGAATAAAATTTTGTTAAAGGAAATAAAATATAAGAAAAATGACAAAGGTCAGCTGTCAGTCAATATTAATGTTAAATTTTCCTAAGATGCATTAAATTATAACAGTCAGTACAAGCAACAGTATTTAATTATTTTAACCCTCTTATTTTAACCAAGCAACCTTTCTATGGCATAATTTTATTCTACATATGTACAGATTGTGGTATTAGATAATAACACATAATAATACACATCAAGGAACTCCTCCAATCATTGCATCTCAATAGCGGTGGCTGTTTTTCAGGCAGAAAGTTTTCCTTTGACTTCTTGCTGACAGCAAGGAGCATAAGTGGCCATTTATTTCCACGTTCAATTCATTCAGGGAAGTCTGAACTCCAAGCTCATTGTTTTTGTCACGAAATGATGAGCAGTATTAAAGATTTGGACTGATAAGTAGTGTCTCTGGTTGAACATACCAAACGTCAGCTACACTTTTGATTTCTGTGCTTCTACAAGACTGTATGACCCTTTCATGTTGGCTTTTCTTGCAAAATAGATGATCATTCCAATGGCAGGTATTATTAAGGAGGATACACAATAGAGCACGAGAAGTTCAGGAGAAAAATAGTCCCTGTTATTTTCTCTTCCTGGAAAAATAACAAAATGGATGCAGTTAATGTCTAGTACAAAAAGAAATCATTTAATAATAATAGTTACACATTTTATTATAACAGTACAACTAGTTCTCCAAGGAGAAGTGAATCAAAACAGTGATAAGGACCATCAGGACCCAAAATGCATATTTCTCTGAATTATCCAGATAATTAGTTGGTGGTTGCTATGGTCATGATGGATCTAAAAATGACAGTCAAAAAAAAAAAAAAAAAAAACTAAAGATGGCAGTCATTAGCTTCCATTACTTGGATTCAAATAGGTTCAGGTTCAGTTGTAGAGTGGAAGTGAGGGTGCAACTTTTTAGGGCTTGTTTAATAAGAAGGGGAATTAGAGAGGGGTGTTTGTGTTAGGAAACAGAAGTATCTACTAAAGAACTAGGACTCTGATCACCATGAATTGAAATGTCTAACCAATTCTCCAAGAAAATCCTTACAACATTTAGAGTTTGACCATTAAAGTGAAATACCATCAACAAGATAGAAAGAGAAAAAGTTCTTACCAACAGCTTTTTCAGAGACACAGAAAATTGTATGTTTTGTGTGTCTAAAATAGGGCATCTTAATATGTTAGTCCTCTTCAGCACTAACTATCTTTTGAAAAACTGAAGTTCTTAGATACTATTATGTTTCAGCTTAAATGTTATTTACCCATAAAGGCATTCTCTGATCCACATCTCCCCCAGCCTAAATTAAGAACCCCAACATACTGTCAAAACCCACTACACTTTCCCTTCATAGTCCTTATCACAGCTTGTAATTAAACATTTGCTCATATGATTATCTATTAAGTTTGGTTTCTTCCTCTAGACTGTAAATTATATAAAGACATGTATGTCCATTTTCTTTTTCTTCCATCACTGAATAGCCAGCACCTGACTTGCTGCTTGGTGTCGTCGGCACCCCAAAAATATTTCGAGCACTAATACAATCTTTTCTTTCTACATCCTGTCATTTTGCCATTTAGTTGTAAAAGAAGTACAGAAGGTAATAGTATATAAAACTTTAAAATTAATACTCTTTCTAATCTACTAAAAATCATCTTACAGCTGCAATATCATTTAACATCTTAACCTTCCTTATAAGAACATCTGAAGAAGCTACTATGTCATTTACTGAAGACCCGTTTCTCTTTATACTTTGGCACTGTATGACCTCAAAAAGTTTCACTAAGGCATATATATGTTTCCTCAATCCTGGCAGAAATAAGTTATCTGACTTTTGTGATCACTATATTCCTTCTAGGGCTTTCTAATTACTGGAGGTCAACTAGGTAAAAAAGAATCACTAGCACCAGAGGATGTGAAGTCATTTTTTTCTAAATTATTGAAGAAAAACACTTCACCCTAAGCATAATGATAATTGACTCATTTTTCTACTTTCCCTTGCAAGAATTGAGCTAGTGCTTAGTAAAAGTATAAGGGTAATATTCAAATGAGATGCTCATCATCATAATTATTGTTAGGCATCAATATTGATGACCTGCTAAATAGTGGTACTTCTATTTCTATTGTTTTCTTTTCAACTTCATAAATATTATCTTTTGCCTATCAGCTTTCCCTCAGGCATCTGCAGAAAAACAGAAATTTGCTGCTAAATCAGCTGCCAGGGCAACTATAATTTTCTACAAGTTGTATAAACACTGAATATCTTAAAGACTCCTGACCATTTCTATCAATGGAATACAATCAAGCCAAAACAAAAGGAAACAAATAAAAAAATCCAGCCAAATACAAACGAAAGTTAGTTGAAAATACTCAGAAAATTGTCACACTTTTTTTTGTCTCCATTCATATCTAGCTATTTTAAACTATATTCAGGTTGGGGGCATGAATTTCTAGCTGAGTACCTAATATTCTTTGATTGTTCATTTAAATAATGAGTGAAAAGTGGCAAATATGTAAGGGGCTAATTTAATAAAGCAATTAGAAAAGACGACAATTTGGAAGAGACAAACTTAAAAATTGAAGAAGCAGCTTTGATGTGACTTTAAAAGAGAACAACTAACCACAAACAGAAAGAACCACAGAAATGTCAAGAGACCAATTTCCTGGCACTGGGCTTAATAAAAGGTTCTCTGGAGGCAACAAGGATCAGAGAAAATAGGAATGAATGTATTTCAGCCTAATCATAACTGAGATCTCAGTCCATCCAGAATCATCCCCAACCTCATTGGAAACAGTGAGTACATATACCCCCGAGTCATTTCGAGTGACATGATACAAGGTAAATGCTCCATTCTTTGAAGACATAGCAACTTCGTTGACCAGATCAACTCTTTTCAGGATAATCACTGCAAGTTGCTGACTAAAACTTTTACATGTAATCATGATACTTTCCCCTTCTTTAACATTTCTAGATGGATGTATTGATATTGTCATGTGTCAAGGAGGAATTTATTGTGAAGACAGAAAACATGGTAAAGCTTGCAATTTTGAGAAATTTGGCCAGATAAGTAAAATTTTTACTTGTTTCTGACTTGGTTCAAACTCTTTCTGTCTTGACAAGTGGCTGCTAACTCTGTTAGCCAAGTGCCAGACCTCATAAGAGTTGGCATTTGTTTACAGCCCTGTTTGCATACCACTGCCAAGTACAGCTTCTAATACACAACAGTCATGCTCATTGGCATGCAAGGAGTGTGAAACTGATTAGCCAAGGCTAATGCATTCTGCTCACACCAATAGGATCAACACATCCTACCCATTGTGCATTAGCAAGAAGAGTTGAAAGTTTAGGGAGCTTCTGAAGTTTCTCCCTGAGGACGTTGCCCCTCCCTTTCTCTCTCCATCAGAATAGGGTAGGATGGCAAGGGGCTTGGAATTTCAAAGAGGCCTTTCTGTAGTATATAGAGATTTTTAAATATTGTTTAGGATCAAGTTTGCTACTCTCAATTATTATCCTGAAAGGAGTCAATCTAGAAAATACAGCAGTTACTCCCGGTTCAGAAAATAGTGTTCTTTTCTGGTAGGAAGGAAGAGGGTCCGTCTTTTTCTATATGCCAGTCCTACTTTTTTAGTTTCCTAATAACCCCCAGGGAAAGGTTTGGAAAATATGGTTAAACACTTAGCAAATGCAAGACCTCAGAGACCGATGATAAATTGTAAACTTTGAAAAAAGCAAATGGGAATTCCACACTCACCAATGATTAATGTCAACTTCCTTGCTTAACTCTATAGGATAGAGCAGCTGTGCTTGATTATTTCAAGAAACATTAAGAAATAACCAAATCATAGAATTCAGCTCCATTTTGCCAACTCATTCATCTAATACTAGAAAGTCTTTACAATCCACGGAACCTCTGAACTATTACAAAAAAAAAAAAAAAAAAAGCCTAAAAACAAAAAACTAACCTTTAACATCAAGTGTTAAACTTTTTAATTTTGAGCCAACTTCATTTTTAGATTCACATTCATAAACCCCTGCATCCTCCAGCTGGGCCTTGCGGATGGTATATGCGCCATCTATAGATTTTAGCACTGTGTCTCCTGTCTCTGCTTTTTTCTTCAGGATTATCCACGTTTCTGGAACATTTCCACATGTACAGGAGATAATGACAGTTTCTCCTTCTTTGACACTCTCAGAAGGAAAAGCTGTAAGTTTTATGTCTTCTGGAGCAACTGTAAAGAGAATTTAAAAGGTACATCTGATTAAGAGAAATATAAATCAATCCCATATTAATTTATAACATCAACACTAGCTGCCAGGGAGGTATTTGTGCTTTCTGTTTGCATCAGATGTTAAGAAGGGAAAATAAAGAAGTCAAGAATTTACTGGATTATTGGAAATTATCATGTCATAAACAAGAGAAGACATATCATGCTTCTCTTGTGCCCCTTAATATAATTCTTTACCCAGCCTAGCATAAAAAAATAGGTGTTTAATAAATAGCTATAGAATTCAAATGTGATAAAGAAAATTAATTTTTTGTCACAATATATGGCAAAATTTTCTTGCAGGTACAAAGGCCTCTACAGGCTTCTGGGTTTTGGTCTGTATCCTCCCAGATTAAGAAATTAAGCTATACAGAGATGGCTTTTTCAGTATCCTCAACACCACCACTTGGTAAACACCGTTTACCATTTACCAAGTTCCAGGCACTGGGTTAAGTACGTGACACATAGCATCTTTATTAATGCAACAACCCATGGGGGAGGTACCACATCACCATTTTTTAAGAGAGATTCCTACTAAGGTCATCTATTTTGTGACCTTATTTGAAATTTTTTCCCCACCCAAGGCTGTGACAGTCATCCTAAAAGTTGTGGTGTGTTTTTTTTTGAAGGCTGCACAGTTGCCCTTCCAAAATTATTCCTTTAAAATACAAATCTCATTGAGACGAGGTGATTAATATCAATATTCTTAGTGGAAATAATACCATGGAGTAAGAGAGGGAATGACAGCCCTCGTGAAGAAAAGAACCCTGCTGCCCAAAAAAGGAAGGTATAGGAGCAAATCCAGATTGATCACTTCATGATTGGCTTCAACCTGCCAACTAGGAATTGTTTTGTTTTCAGTTTTGAGTCTCCATCCTGGAGAGAGGGGGCCTAGATCACCAGGCTGATGAATCAGAGGACACAGTCACTACTACTCTAAATCTTAGAATTTGCAAAAGGTTTAGGTGCTGTCTTAGGCTTCTAAGCAAATACTAGTAGGCATCTTGTGAGATTGCTACTCAGGATCCATTTAAAGCCAAATATTGTGGCTTTAATCCTAAGTAATTCCCAAATACATGTATATCTTTACCTATTTTTATTTCAACACCATGATCATTGCTTGATTAAGTGTAACTGGAACTTCTGGCACAGTACCCAGAGCTAACATTTCACTTGAAGTTAGAAGATTTTCAGGATAAATAACTTGTAATTTCAGGAGCTTTCATGCATAGGAAACATCATGAACTCTTCAAATCCCTCAATATACTTTTGTAGTAAAATTTCTATTGTCAAAGAGGACTTTGCTCATAACCAGTCACAGAACCAGAAAGATACTAGCAATGACAACTCATTAATCATACTCTGTTCACCTTGAATAATTAATTTGACTTATTTTCTGCTTATTCCAGCTTGGTTAATCCCATTACACACGTAAATTCCAGAATCTTCCATTGTTGTAGGTAATTAAGGTAAGAGTTGCATTCTCAGAAAGAGGCTGAAGAGCCCCATTATTTAGCTTCCTGCTCCACAGGATTTTTGGAGCTGGAAGGCCATCACTGGAGCATGTCATAGTCACAAAACTGCCTTCCTCCAGGATGGAGGAGGGGCTGACCAAAACAGTCATATCTCTGGGGGCAACTGCAAAGGTAGAGATTCTTGTTAGCTTCACTTCTTATACCCCGAGTTCCAAAGAGTTTTAATAATGTTGCAAAACTGGAGTATGGATTCAGTGGATTCAGTTTATAATCCTTGATAACTTTCCCAAAGGAAGTTTCTGTCCTGATTTACTTTAGCAGTTAAAGAGTGAAAGGGTAGAATATGGACACATCATGGATATTTTCTAATGGGAGTAAGTTCCACAGAAGCTCCCTTACTACCAAAGAATGGATGGTCAATGATAGCGTATTTGCCATTTATAGTAGATTAAACATGACCATGAATTATCTGAATCTCCTCCTGTGAAAAGGGGTGGCCTCTTTTTCCACCCCTTGAATCTGAGTTAGTCTTATGACTCACTTTGACCAATGTAATGGGAAGCAGTAACACTGTAGGACTCCCAAACCCAGGCCTTTAAGAGGCTACTTTTGTTTTTAACCTTCTTGAAACACTGCTCTGTGAGTAAACTTAGGCTACTTTCCTTGAGGATGATGAAAAGAGGCCATGACATCCCAGATAAGGCCCCGAACTTGTGAGTGAGGCCATCTGAGACCAATCAGCCCTGTTGACCTTACTGAAAATGCTTCGGGGAGCTCAGCTGGTGCCATATTGAGCAGACTGACTGCCTAGCTGGGCCCTGTCCAAATTGCCAACCCATAAGATCATAAGCAAATAAATGGTTATTATTTCAAGTTTTGGTTGGGGGGGGTGGTTTGTTACAATCATCATTATTTTGAAATGTCTTTTCAGTTGTGTTTTTTTTTCCTACAGAGGTTTTTTTTTTTTTTTTTTTTTTTTGAGACAGAGTCTCACTTTGTTGTCCAGGCTAGAGTGAGTGCCGTGGCGTCAGCCTAGCTCACAGCAACCTCAAACTCCTGGGCTCAAGCGATCCTCCTGCCTCAGCCTCCCGAGTAGCTGGGACTACAGGCATGCGCCACCATGCCCGGCTAATTTTTTTATATATATATCAGTTGGCCAATTAATTTCTTTCTATTTATAGTAGAGACGGGGTCTCGCTCTTGCTCAGGCTGGTTTTGAACTCCTGACCTTGAGCAATCCGCCCGCCTCGGCCTCCCAGAGAGCTAGGATTACAGGCGTGAGCCACAGCGCCCGGCCAAAGGTTTTAACTATTAACCTTATGTTGACTTTTGCCTGGCAAACGTAGTAAAGAAATGCATATTAAATGTTGGACACATCACATATGTACTTACCATTGACATAAAGTGTCTGTGTACTCTGCCTTTGTTTGGGTTCAAATTCCATTTCATCAATATGTAACTTAGCCCGACAAACAAGAACTGTTCCAGTATCTTCAGTGGTGGGGATGAAGGTCGTTTCCAAACTTTTGGTCTCTAGGGAGTTCCCAACCTCTTCCTCCGAAAAGTTTTTATTTCCCAGAATAGTCTCCCCCTTAAGTAATTCAATCTCCAGCCGGTCAAAAGGGTACACGTTAGGAACCTTGCAGCTTACAGTGACGGGCTTTCCATTCACTAGCGGACCAGTCATCTCAATTTCTGGATCTCCAGGGAATGCTACAAATATCAAACAAAAATGATGCTTATAAGTGACATTCAAGGAAAAATTGAGCTAAACTCTGTTAAATGTAAAGGTCTCAAAATGACAACTTTAACTCACCTGGCATAGGGTGATCATTAGTATATAAATAATGATGTTAATATTAATATTTAAGATTTATGATATTAAATATAAATAATGTTGAAAATACTTAATACGTCATCATCCAGTAATAAATATTTTTATTTCTTATTTTTCTCTTCTTTTCTTTTTTTTTCTTTGAGACAGAGTCTCCCTTTGTTGCCCAGGCTAGAGTGAGTGCCATGGCTTCAACCTAGCTCACAGCAACTTCAAACTCCTGGGCTTAAGCGATCCTCCTGCCTCAGCCTCCCAAGTAGTTGGGACTACAGGCATGTGCCACCATGCCCGGCTAATTTTTTCTATATATATTAGTTGGCCAATTAATTTGTTTCTATTTATAGTAGAGACGGGGTCTCGCTCTTGCCCAGGCTGATTTCGAACTCCTGACTTCGAGCAATCCGCCCACCTCGGCCTCCTAGAGTGCTAGGATTACAGGCGTGAGCCACCACGCCCAGCTTATTTTTCTCTTCTTAGTGATGGAATCATGTTAAGTGCCATGGCCTGATCTTTCCTAAGGACACATTAGCTTTCACCATCTTATTTAGTAACAACACATTTTTAATGTTTTAAATATTTGCCATGATGTATTGAATACTTCATATGAACTAGTGTCTCAACACCCATTATCTCAGTCTTCAAAGCAGCGTGACAAAATGAGTATTATTTAATTAATTTTATAGCTCAGAAAACTGAATTGTTACAGGGGTTAAGAGATTTTCAGTACACATCATACCTAGTAAGTCACTGAGCTGAGCTCAGAATCGTGTTTCTCTGACCTCAGAGCCCAGGCTTGGTTTCACAGAGCTATGCAGCCAGTCTATATCAAATAAGACCCACAGGGAAGTTCTCAATTTAGACAGTTTAAATTCTAATGACCAAATTCATGCAGCAAGTTTTAAATCAGGTAATACCTGCAATTCTGAAAAGAACTAGCTTAAGTGTATTATTTAGAATCAATCTTGAGAGATTTATGTTCTAAATAATAACATTTATAATATATCCTATGGAAGTCAATAAAAATGAGATTAAAATAGTTATCAAGGACAATTATAATGCTAAAATGATTTTCCTTAAGCAAACTGTTGTTAAAGTGATACATTCTCAAATGTTTCCATTTTGCAATAAGACTTCACTGCTGGTTCTCATTTCTGTTGGGAATGTGCCGACATCAGCAGATCAGGGACTCTGGGTAATATAATAATGCAAATAAAATTTACCCCTGTTTTGAGAGATTCAAATCCCTTTATAGATATACTGTAACTCACTCTGAACAAAATCCTGAAGGGTACCACAAGTTTGGGCAAGGATTCTGGTGGAAAATCTCTACAATATGTTCTCTGGAGTTCCGCTGAATAAAACAAGCCAAAGTAAACGCTCTCAAGGACCTAACTTTGGGGGCACTTTGCATATTTTGTCACTCAGTCATTATACACTGAGAAACTCCAGCAATGCCAAACTCTAGAGATTTGAGGTCGTAAATAATTTTTATCAAGATGACAAGAAGAGCAAGCAGAAGCATAGGGTATGTACACAGTGTAAATCAACACTAAGATGCAGTGCTGCCTCCTGACTCTGCTCTTCACCTGAGCTACTGCCACCACCATTGTCACCATCCCCATCTCCAGTCTAACTCCTTATCATAATTCTTGGCTTTCACCTGCTTAATTTTCTTCCCATCTTGTAGATCAGCTTTCTTAATGTGCCATTAAAACAGTGGGTTCAGGCCTCACCTGCGATTTGGATAGTTGAGCAGCCATCACCCCCACCCAGTCATCTGTGTCCATCCACCGGTCCATCCATTCATCCCGTCCATCCACCCGATATACACGTGGAAGGGCTGGAGAGCAGGGAGCATGGACTGTGTTCAAGGGCATGATGACAGGGTGTTGACGAGACCCAGACTTGTCAATGCATCCACTAGATTGTGGATGTTATATACACATGTAATGTGTACTTAAGATTCAGGCCAATTATGCTGCATCAAACCATTCTGGTTCAGAGATTTAGGAACCGTTCACAATGCTAAACTGCCTTCCTAAATATAAGCAGCTCATTGCATGTCACAGACTCGTATTTTCTTCTTTCCAATGGGATTGAAAATAAATAAATAAATAAACAAACAATTAAGCAGGACACAATTCTGAAAACCACTTACAGTAGAGCTTCAACTGGATCCCCTTTCTCTGTTTCTTATGTCCACAGGTCACTGTGCACAGGTAAGAGGTTTCGTTTGCCAAACTCACACTGCTCAGGGTCAGCGTGGACTTGGTGCCCTCACTCCTCACATTCTCACGCAGAAGGCTGTCGGTCTGGGTTTCCCAAGAGAAAGACGGGAACTCGCAGTCTGTGGCACCACATGTCAACACGACTGAGTCCCCAATCTGAGTGGCAGTCTGCGGGCCAGGGGAGATCTCAACACTAAATGGTTTCTCTAGAGGGGGGAAAAAAAGGACAAGATGAAAAGAGGATAAGATTCTTTTATCACAATCCATTATATGAACTTTATTTTTCCTGATCTCCTTTCAGCTATTTGTGCCAAGAAATGACTCCTCTCTGCCTTGGGACCATCAGGAATACCTCTTTTAAGAATGAATCCATGACGGTCTGTTGATTCATTCACTTAACAGAATGAATGTAGATAAAAATTTGTCAAGACAGGTTGGCATCTTTTCATAGCAATAATCCAGTCCCTGCTCAAATGTAGTTTATCAAACCACTGTGATAGTGAACAATAGCTCAAATAATTTAAATGGTTCTTGTGTGTCAAGCATGATGTAAACCGCTTTCTCTTTCTCCTTCTGCTTCTACACTCTCTCTTCTTTATCCTTTTTCTCTTTCTTTTTGAGGAAATTTAGGCTCAGAAATGCCAAATAACTGTACCCAGCTTGCAAGAGGCAAAATAAGGACTTGATGCCAGGTGGGGCTGATTCAAGATCCCAGCTTTTCAGTTGTGAGAAAACTCAATCAAGTTACCCTCATGTGGAGATAAAACAAGGTGTAAATGAGGTATTAGAGAAAGCTACACAAAATGTCTTTTAATTAAAAACAGTACCCAATACCCATAATGGACCAGCAGTTAGAACTTGTATTCCAGCAGTACAAAGTTGTACCACTGAAAGTCACACTGAATCACATTGAAAGCAAAGTCAAAATCTAAGCATTTAACGTTTGGGGGATGGTCACGCTTGAAGCTCTGACTCGAGGGGAGAGGGGGAGAATGGGCTATATACATAACCTTAACATTTGTACCCCTATAATATGCTGAAATAAAAAATAAATAAATTAATTAAATTAAAAAAAATCTAAGCATTAAAGTGATAAATAAGTCACCTCCAAAATTTAGCTTGATGCAATGTAAAATACTTTTCAATTAATTCAGGGGCTGAGAGCTCATACATGAGAGCAAACTCCTAAGTCTCAAATATCTAGAAAGTCCCTCTGGCCATCAGTGTCCTCCCTGCTAGGCACACAGACTTCATTTGGATGACTGCTGTTTAGAGAGAAAGGGAATTGTAAATCTTGTCTTTGTTGCCCTGAAGAAACTGGGAGTGGTTGGGCAACTCTGAAAGTGACAGATGAAACACTACAGAAAACCACTAAAATCTTCCTTGTAAATAGCAGACTAGAGATAGAAGAAATCTCAACACACAAATAATCCAAATCAACTACATCTTACCTGGTTCTCATCTGTGCCAGAAGCTATTTTTCTCAATTTTGGTTTACCTGATTGTGATATCTGAGTATTTTTCAAAGACGGATCTCTTCAACAAACTAATATGCTATTAGATTTTGAAAGAGAGATCATTCAGAATACTAACTAGAGTTTCTGAATTCCTTATATGCTAGCATAAGAATGAGGAAGGTTAAACACAGATGCACTTTCTGCCTGTGAACATTTCTTAGATCATTCTTTAGAGTGGCTACATGCATTACCATGAGAACTTGTAGCTCTGGAGGAGTAACTCTTTTAGCTAGCTGATAGGTCCTTTAAAAGTTCAATTCTACATACAGTACTTAAGGTCCTTAGTATCCCATGTGATGCAAAGTGCAAAATCACTCTTCCCAACCCCAGAACACATTTCCTCTGAGCATTGAAATGTGATGCAGCATATTATGGGGTGGAACTTACCCAGGATGAATGTTACGCTTTACACACTTTTATTAGTGTGATACTTTTCCTGATCACTTAAGAATGCTAACCGAACACCCAACTGAGGTAATCAGCTGATGGTGAGTTTGAATTATTTTTAATCATCCAAGTTTAAACTCCATGTTTCCATATTTTAAAAATTTGTGTTGTCCAGGTTTGCAATTTATTCATTCATTCAACAAACATTTACTGAGCACTTATTATGTATCAAGTACTGTGCTAGGCACCCAAACAGTAAAACACACACACACACACACACACACACACACACACACACGAGTTCCTGCCTTAACTAAGCTTACGGCTTAATAGAAAGACACATTTAAATAGATACATCATTTTGACTCTTACTAAAGTATATATTTAAATATTTACTGTCTTTCCTTCCTAGTTTGTATGCTCCTCCAGGGAAGCTGCCATATCTAATTCATGTCTGTACCTCCAGCACCAAGCACAATTCTTAGATTCTTGGACAAATATCCTTCATTAATAAGTATTGAACAGAATAGAAGTGCATACATGGCTATAAGAAGTGTTGACTGTACACAAAGGGAGGAACAAGCAACATGGCCTAACACAATGTGGAATTGGGAGGTTGACATGAGCTTTGTCTTATAGAATGGTTTTGTTTTGTTTTAGTTTTTTTTTTTTTTTTTTTGAGACAGAGTCTCACTCTGTTGCCTGGGCTAGAGTGCCGTGGCATCAGCCTAGCTCACAGCAACCTCAAACTCCTGGGCTCAAGCAATCCTGCTGCCTCAGCCTCCTGAGTAGCTGGGACTATAGGCATGCACCACCATGCCCAGCTAATTTTTTCTATATATTTTTAGTTGGCCAATTAATTTCTTTCTATTTTTAGTAGAGACAGGGTCTCACTCCTGCTCAGGCTGGTTTTGAACTCCTGACCTTGAGTGATCCCCCTGCCTCGGCCACCCAGAGTGCTAGGATTACAGGCGTGAGCCACCACGCCCGGCCTATGAGCTTTTCTTGAAAGATGGCTGAGACTTTGCCAAGTGAAAGAAGAAGAAAGACCATTCCAGGCAAAAAGAACAGCATAAACAGAGGCATCGAGTCACCAGCAAAGCTGTAAAGGTAGTTTCTGACCAGACTCTGAAGAGTTATATGTGACTACTTTAATAAATATATGAATTCATGTCAAATGAACACCTTCCATGTTTAAAGTAATTAACTCTGGTAACAATGCATAGGATTGGTTATCTTAAGGAAAGAATGATAGCAGGGAGACCATTTAAAGACAATTAGCTATAAAACACATGCACTACTATTCAGCCTTAAAAAAGGAAATTCTGTCATTTGTGCCAACATGGTTGTGCCCAGAGGACATTATGCAAACAAATAATAATAATAAACCAGGCACAGAAAGACAAATACCACATGATCTCACTTATATGTGGAATCTAAAATAGTCAAACTCATAACAGTAGAGAGTAGAATAGTGGTTACCAGAGGCTGGGGGATGGGGAGTAAGGTAATACGATGTTGATCAAAAGGCACAAAGTTTCAGTTTGACAGGAAATAATAAATTTTTGAAACCTATTGCACAGCATGGTGACTATAGTTAATAATAACATATGCTTTAAAATAGCTAAAAGAGTACCTTTTAATGTCTCACCATAAAAAATGATAAGTGAGGTGATGGATATGTTAACTGAATTGATTTAATCACTCTACATTGTATACATATAACAAACATCACATTGTATCCTATAAACGTACACAATCATGGTTTGCTAATTTAAAAAATATTAATTTTTAAAAATAAATAATAAAGACAATTAGCTCTAATTGAAAAGGCATAGGGTTTTAGATTAAAACAAGCCTATATTAAAATAACAGAAAATACTATTAAAGAGCTATTTGATCCTACGCAAATTATAAACTATGCTGAGCCTGAGTGTTTATCCACCTAATAGTGTTGTGGTGAAGATTAATAAGATAACATATATAAAGTAGAATGTAGATTTCCTGGCAAATATTAAGTGTGCAGTCCATAGGTAGTGCTGTGATTAATTTCTGTGAGATTCCATTCTCTCATCTGTAAAATGGCTATAAAATATTTACTCTTTAGTTAACTCTTGATGATTACAGATAACATATAGAAAGTGCCAGAAACATAGCTGGTATTCAATGAATACTGTTATTTAAGAACACCTTGCAAGAGTCCAAGTGAGAGATTATAAACTATGGCAATGGCAAGAGGGTTGAAGAATAGGTTATATTCTAGGGATAGTTTTGAGGTAGAACCGACAGGATTTGTTGACATGGAATGGTACATGAATTTGGGAGTAATCAGCATACAGTAGTCCCATTCTTGGGAGTCTAGAGTGAGAAAAGATGAGGACTATATATTATAACCTGAAAATATCAACACTTGAGGGGCAGAAGGAAGACAGAAAGTTAGGGAATAATACGGTGAAGAAGTGATTTGAGATGGAAAAGAATTAGAAAAGCAGAGTCATGGAAACTCTGGGGGAAAAGACTTCCAGGAAGTATAAGTAGGATAAATACATATTTGTGCCAAAGTACATAGCAATCAGATGGATCATCGATGAAAATTACAGAAGCAATTTCAGCATTGAAATTGTGTCACTATTGCTCCAATCTCAATAACAAAACCTCTATCCTTCCTTTTCACTTTCTACTCACCTTCAACAACTAATTCCACCTCACTTCTGTGTTTTCCAATCAGATTAACTCCTTCACACACATAAATTCCAGAATATTCCATTCTCATAGCAATTAAGGTGAGAGTTGCATTCTCGGAAAGGGGCTGTAGATTCCCATTGTCTAATTTCTTGCTCCAGAAAATCTGTGGCACTGGTAGACCCTCACTGGAACATGTCATTGTCACAGAGCCACCTTCCTGCAGCCTTGTGGAGGGATTCACAGAGATAATTGTATTCTTGGGTGAGACTGAAAAGGAAAGACATAATATTAGCAGCTGCTAAGCATTATTCCAATCCAACAGGAGTAATATATTTCTCTCAGAGACTGTATGTATGTGCTTCCACAAATTTGATGAACTTACTGTAGCTAATTACTATAAGGAACTGCTGAGTCATTAAAAATAGGCAATGTAGTTTCTGACTAACCTGACTGAATTACTTTTTTTGATGTTTTGTGTTTTCAGGTTGTCACAGATGTTCAGAAATTAAGAAGGGTCATGTGGCTCCAACCTCCATCTAAGGTTAGGAGTCCCATGTAAGCATCCTTGCCACATGCCATATGTGTCCGTGTGAGCAAATCATGCTCATCCCAGATAGCTTCAACATTTACTGAGAGAGTCAACCCATTGCCTTAGAAAGCAGTCAGTTTGATTTTTGGACAGCTCTAATTATTAGAACATTTTCCCCTCTTGAGCTGAAATCTTCCTCTCTACAACTAACTTAAACACATTGGTCATATATAGCTCAGGCTTCTACTGTTACAGAATAAACAAAATCACTCTTTTACACAACTATCTTTCAAACACTTAATGAAAGCTCTCTTTTCCAGGTTTTATATTCTCTAGGGAAAATATCATCTATCTTGACTATTCTTCTCAAAATATTATTCAAACCTATCCATCTCATTCTGTTTTGGCTAAGCAAAACTACAATTGACAATACTTTTAAATGTGGTACCCAGAGCAGAAAACAGCATCTTAGTCTAGAACAGAGCAGAATGAGTCCACTCTTACAAAACTCTGGGACTTAAAGACTGCATCAAATCTCCTGGAAGACTCAAGGACATAGGAGGCAATCAAACCCCACCACCTTTCTCCCACCTGATACATATGTGTACATGTGAGCAAATCATATACACGCGTACACATAAACACACAGAGAATAACTGCTCCCCTTTTTGAGTTTCTATATATGTGCAGCTAATATTTCAATGCTTATTATAAGAGTTTACAAAACTAGATTAAAAACATTTTATAATTTGACCTATTTCCTACTACCCAATCAGATGGTATTGTTATTCCCCTTCGACAGATGGGGAAATAGAGAAATTAAGTTACCCAAGCTCACACAGTTAATGGAGCCAGAAATTAAGTTCAAGTCTTCTCAATTCAAATACAGTATTCTTTTCATTGAATTATGCTATTGGCAAATATTGTGCTTTCAATGAATAAAAATGGAATAAAAATCATAAACAAATTTCTTGTTGACTTAGTTGCTAAGTTTATTGCTATATCCCAGGCTGAATTCCCATAAAAACTAGACCACATCACACAAGTACTTACTGTAGACTTGCAGCTTTTCTGTAGTCTCCCTTTCTTTGGGCACAGAATCCATTTCATCAATGTGTAATCTAGCTCGGCAAACAAGAGCTTTTCCAGTATCCTCGATGATAGGAGTAAAGGTTATTTCCAAACTCTTGGTTTCCAGGGACTTACTTTCCACGTCTTCTATAAAGGCCTGACTCTTCATGTGATGGTCTCCCTTCCATAAATCTATCTCCAGCCTGTCAAATGGGTATACATCAGGGACCAAACACTTGACTGTGACTGGCTTTCCAGCCTCCAGAGGGCCACTGAAATGAATCTCTGGATCCTTAGGAAAAGCTGCAAAGACGAAGTAAATACATAGTGGATTTTTGCTCACTTTTTCCTCATAGAATAAGGTCTCTTACTGTTTTAATGCAATGCAAATCAAGTCTAACGTTTTGTTAATACAATCTCAATACAGTAGAATTATCTAAATAGCCTTCCATGATTTTGAGTGGGTTCAAAGAGCAAGAATCAGAACAATTATATTTTAGAAGATTCTTCAGTTCTGATCCTCTATGTATTAAGCGTTGCATGTTATTGGAGTAAAAGAAGGAAGAAAAAAACTAATGTTTATTGAAACTTACATGTGCCTGTCACTATGTTATATGCTTAACATAAATGTTTTCATTTTATCCCCACAGTCACCCTAAGAGATAAAGACCACATTTCACAGATAAAAAAAACTTGGACTTGGCATGTGTGTGTACCTTGTGTGAGGTGACACAGGCAGTAAAGGTAAAGATGGGACTTAAACTCAGGATTTCTATTACTCTGTGTTACTACTGCAGACTTATACTGTCTCACATTCTCTTATTTCAGTCAGGACAGATGTATTTCCATTCTACAGATAACGACTGTAAGGCTCAGAATGTCATTGCAAAGAACAGTGATTGAGCAAGAGGTGCTTAGAAATGAAAAGACAAACTTTAAATAATTGGCTTCTGAAACTGATGCCTCTGACAAGAATGTATCCACCAGAAAGGTACACTTGTGCAATCTTTACATTCTGGAAGGCAGATTTGTTTCCTGAAATGCCTAACTCAATGTCCCACCACATACTCCATTGAAACTTCTAGCACTAGGAAACACACGATTTGAGTCGGCCATTGCCTCCTTTGCAAGGGTTACCTATTTCCTCACACACTGCCATGATGGCAGCGCCTTGGTGGCTTAAAGACTGTATAGTAAAAAGAATATAAAGCTCTCAACTCTAAAGACTATTACAATCAAATGTAAAATGGAGACAGACTGTTAAACATAATGAGAAACAGACACTCTTAGAGAAAAACCCCAGGAAAGATAATTAAAGCCAGAAGGGTCGTCATTTCTCTTTTTTAAGTCTTCAACTATTTGGTACTTATGGGCAAAAGGGGAAGGAACTGGAAATGATTTGCTATGTGAAAAAAAAACATGGCATTTAAAAATTTTCCACCAGTAATTTCTGTCCCTCATAGTCTGTAAGAAATGTGCCTAATCTACACAGTTTGATGTCAGGTAATATAAGAACTTGCTACTTTTCCCTGTATTTATATAAAGGGACCTTTCAAAAAGCTCAGGAGGCTGCTCAGACATAAACTATGCATGTACAACCAGCATAATTGAAAGCAGCCGGCCAAGAACAGTTTTTCGGGAAGCTTTAGCAACACATAGGGCTTGTTGAAAAATCAGTTAAGGTTAATGGGCAAAGTTAGGCTCCAGTATAGTAGAAAGGAATGAGCATATTTATAATCAAATGAGGTCTTCATGAAGAAATGACCATAAATGAGTCTAGTTTGTTAGAAAGAGACGCCATCAGTAACCAAAGGCAAATGATTTGTCAGGTTAGTTTTTTAACCTCTCTTGTTAACTTCATTTGCTGAATTGAGAATGGAAGGGGATGCGTCTCAGTAGGCTGGTACACTGGGAGTATTCATTCACTTTGATGACACAAAACTAGTTTGTTACACAAATATCTTTGAAGTTGAGGACCATGGCTTTGAGGCACCAAAAAAACATAAAATTCCTAAATTTTTTGACACCAAAGTCAAACAAGTGAAACACTTGCAGATTTTTTTAATGTTTAAGGAGAAAACTTTTATACTGAAGCCTATTATTAATTATGAATCTTCTATTTAATCTTTAAAGTGATTTTAAGCACCAAATTGTAAAAGAATAAATGAATAGAAAATCCCTGGAGGATGGAATTCATGAATCATTTAGACGCATGAGCAAATAAACATGTAAGCATATAATCAAATAAAATGTTTTAAATTAAATAAAAAGAATCTTAAAGATTTTCATTTTATAGCTAAGGAAACTGAAGCCCAGAGAGGGCAAATCTTATGCACAGTCTTCATGTTTGTGGCAGAGGTGGAAAGAGAAGCCAACATTGGCATTCCTCATCAAGTGCTAGCATCAGCTACCTCTGGCTTTCTTGATGCCATAGGATCTCTAGCCAAGAATCTGCATGTGAATATCCTTTTAAAAGCTTTTTCTTAAGTATCCTTTTTTAAAAATGAAAAGAAATGTAAATTTTTCTAATGTAAAGAAAGATTGAGAGAAAACCAAAACATTCTCCAAAGCACTCACAGTAGATCTCCACTTGGATTCCTTTTTCCAGTCTATCAGGTCCACAAAATGCCATGCACAGGTAAGAGAGTTCGTTCTCGAAACTAACAGGATTCATGGTCAGCGTGGACTTGGTCCCCTCATTCCTCACAGTCGCATACAGCGGACTGTCCATCTGGGTTCTCCACATGAAAGACGGGGACTCACAGTCTATGGTGCTGCAAGTCAATGAGACGGAGTCACCAATCTGAGCAAGAGATCTGGATTCAGGACTTGTCTCCATTTTAAAAGCTTGAGCTGCAAAAGCAAAAAAGAAGAAAAAGCAAATTTACCACTTGTTTGTCTAGTATTTTACTCCCTCTTCTTTGTTCTGGTATAATGTCCAAAGTATGATCTGACTGATCTCTTTGCTAAATTGCTTCAAACTAACTGCAGAGCAGCCAGAAAAGCACTAAAGTCACTACCAAAGAGGGTGTTGAAATTGTCTTCACTCAGGAGAAATGATGCCCATTTATCAAAGTTATTTTGTTATTTGCTAAATTTCACCTCATTATCAAGTATAGGAAACTAAAGAGACCTACCAGAGAGAGTATCCAAATTGCTCATTTGACTTGGGGGAAAAAGAGACCAAAAAAAAAACTACCTCAGCTCTAACTATGACAGTATAATGCCATGTAGCAAAACTCAATAGCACATTAAAAGTTGGGTTAAATTAACTTTTTCCAGTGTTTAAAATCCTAGTGCTCGCTTCACTAACATAGCAAAACTGACTGGAGACAAAACCAAGGCTAAATTGGAATGCTAGCATTTAAAACAGATCAAGAAGAACTTACAAGCTGCAAACACTGTCCAAAGTATACATGAGGTTCCAAAGATCACGACCATCTTCCCAGGCATTTTAAGTTGCTGCTGTGATGAGAAAATACTGGTTCCAAAACTCTTATTTCCGCTCCACCTGAAAGTGCCTGGGAAGAGTCTTCAGCCTCTAAAGCCAGTGAGGCTCGGTGAGGAGTGAAATAGAAAGTCTGCTTCTTATAAAGGGTCTTGCTGCAGAGGCGGAGGGAAATCCCTTCAAGGGGAAACCCGGGGCAGAGCCAGGGAAAAAAGTTTAACTGACACCCAGCCAAGTTCCAGTATTAACCCCTTCAGTTGCCCTCAGTGCTGAAACTCTTCTCTCTGTCCCGGAAAAATCAGACACTTCCAAGACTATAAAAGATCAGGCTTTTCCTGATCTTCAAATCCAAAAGGATATCTTTACTAGGAAAATACGAGACCACACTCATTGCAGAATGAAGCTTTCTGAATCTAACGGAGGCAGGGGAGAGAGAAATAGTAAATTATACTTTAGTTTTTGAACTGGAAAAATAACCACTATGTCATGCGAACTTATTTTCTCTATTAAGAAAATACAGTTGCAATTCTAAAATACAGATTCAATTTTATAAGAAAAATAAAAAGCTCCTTTCTTTGGATGAGCCATTTTTTAAAAGGGAGACAGCATAATTTCTTAATTTTTTATTTTTTATTCATAAAAACAGTTCTTATGACAACAAATATCAGCTTCCTGAAATTATTTTCTTGAGTGCAAAGTAAAAGAATGTATTAACAATTAAATATTGCTGCCAAAACAACTATAGTTTTTCCTCTTTTGTTTCAGAGAAGCTACCACCTCTTTGGTCAAATTGCTAGACAATTGGAAGTCTTTTGCAGACTTAAATGCAACTGTATGGAATCCATCTGAAGTGGCAAATCTCTTGGGCTGTGGGATTTAACCACAAGTCCAGTTAAAACGTGAAAAATAAGTTGTTATTGTTATAGGGGAGGAGATGATAACCAATTTTTATGTTTTCATTCGCCCCTGTGAAATGGCTTTTTTAAAAGCTCAATTAACTGGCTAGTTTAAGCTTGCACACATAAAGCCTAAGTCCTCGCAAAAAATGCATACCCATCAAAAAGAAACCGGAATAGCCACTTCCTTACACATGTGCAGGTCTACCTCCCCCATCAGATCATCAGTTCCTTTCATGGCCAGGACCAGTTCTTATTCATCATCATATCTACTTCTACAATATTTAATGCACGGTTTTGCACTTAGTGGATACAAAAAAGAGCAGTAATAAATGTTGTGAGTTTGGAAAAGAAACTTCTAAAAAATAGGAAATGTAAATACTGAATAAGAAAAATGTTAAATTTTACAAGAAAATTCCAAATCTCACAGACTCGCGGGGATGTGTACAATAAACACCACTGCACTATGTGATAGAAGGCCAACCGTAACTGAGGTTTGGAATCTGCAACTGTCCCTACGTGGCAAGAGAGGCTTCTGGACCTCCTCTTGGTTACTGATATGGCTTGCACTAAAGGACAAGGAGAAAAAAAGAGGTAGGAGAAGCTATTCTAGGGCTGTGGTGATACATGTGACTTTACCTACCAAATATCCAGCGATCAGAAAAATGGGTTCAGGCAAAATTAGCTGGTAAACAAGTAACCTAGAGGTCTTTACAATGTTCTTATCATGGAAGATTATCAGCTCCATGTAAGTTCACCACTTAACTTCAGAATAGATCAAAAGGGCATTATGGAGTTGGAATACATTTCCCTGGGGCTCAAAGACAAATGACAAAGGATCCAAAATGGGATCACCATGACCAAGTCCTGATGGATTACTTCAGTTCTGAGTCTGGATATTATTCCAAGCTTGGAACATTGGAGAAATGCCTACTCTATTCATTTAAGTCATAGTGATCTTGGCAACTATTTGATCAAGTCCCTCATTATGTCTTTGTGTTGCATGACATCTGAGGTCCTACCTGGTCCTGCCAGGTGTGTTGATTTAACCCTTCTCTGAACCTCACTATGACTAGTGCATACCAATGAAATGCCTGTCATGCTGCCTTTACTTGTTAATATGTCTATCTTTCCTAATTGCTAACTCATATGGCTTCAGTTTTCCATCTCAACATTTATCCTAGAATAAGGCATTTATTAAAATTTCTGGAATGAATGAATAAATGAATACAGTTGCAAGTATGAGACTAACAGATTGAAACTAACTTAACTTAACAGAATAGAGTATTACTGGGTTTGGTCTTTGGACTTGCTCAGTTTAACATTTTTAACAGTAACATGGAGCACTTGATTACCTAATTTATTCATAATGCAAGACTAGGAAAGATAGTTAACCTTAGAGATGACAGAATCAAGATAAAGAAGATAAAGGGGCCAGGCGCGGTGGCTCACGCCTGTAATCCTAGCACTTTGGGAGGCCGAGGCGGGTGGATTGCTCAAGGTCAGGAGTTCGAAACCAGCCTGAGCGAGACCCTGTCTCTACCACAAATAGAAAGAAATTAATTGACCAACTAAAAATATATATACAAAAAAAAAATTAGCCGGGCATGGTGGCGCATGCCTGTAGTCCCAGCTACTCGGGAGGCTGAGGCAGGAGGATCGCTGAGCCCAGGAGATTGAGGTTGCTGTGAGCCAGGCTGACACCACGGCACTCACTCTAGCCTGGGGTAAAAAAAAAAAAAAAAAAAAAAAAAAGAAGATAAAGGATATAATAGCAGTCCCCAAAATGTTGTAAAATTTAATAGGAATGCATTGAAGTCCAGCATTTAAATGTAAAACCTTGAGTGCGGTGGGGGAGGGGAAGATTAGACCTGATCATAATCCACCAGAGGCTCTGGTGGTTTTAGTTAACCGTAAAATGAACATAAGTCAACACTGCTGTGAGAAACTAAAATAGCTGTGATAAGCTCAGGTTTTACTCATAGTGATTCGACCTTCTAATCATCTGAGTCCATGGTCTCTGAGCACTACACACCCACCAGACCATATTGGGAGCAAGGGTGTCTGATTCACAATGATATTTCTTAAAAGAGAGACTGACAAAATAGAGGGTGTCCCGAGAAAAATGATGAGGATGGTAGATGATGACTCCAAAATCCTTACCAAGTAGGAGCTTTCGAAGGAGCAGGAATATGTGTGTCCTGTTCACCATTAGAGCTTCAGCCCTTCACATAGTGACTGACAGATGGTAGGGGCTTGGTAAACCACTATTGAATGAATAAATAATAACAATTTGAAAGAAGACTTCACTTAGAACCCAACAGTCCTGAGTTCAGGTCCAGCTACTCCACCAAGGAATTGTGAAACCTCACACAAGTATAGGTAGCCTTTCTGAGCAGGTTTACAAATGCTCAGATAGGAATAAGGCACCATTTCAAATGATTCTCACAATTTATGACTGATTTGAATCAAAACTGACCATATGAAATATCTTTAAAAAATATAGTAAAGTGCTACATAAATCGTATATAATAATAAGATACAGCCATGTTAAGTTCATTGTTAAAGAACTTTCCAGTCATTAAATTTTTTTGAACAATGCGATAGCTCACCGTGTGAATTTGCTGGCCAGTAGTTGCTGCAAATATTCAAGCAAAGGTTGGATGACATCGTTGAACAATGTGGTAGAGGTCAAGTTTTACCTTACATGAGATATCTATCTGGATGGCCATTAAGGTGCTCTCCAATGCTAAGATTCTGTTATCAAGGTCAGTGCTGTCCACTCTTTCTAGCCTAACTTCGCCAATCTTCTCCTGGTCCATATCAGCAGAGGTTCCTGACCTTTTTTCTTGAGTGGCCTAACACATCTGAGGAAAGTGACATTCCCAGCAGTTATTATGAATCATTATGGCGGCAATTCTTACCCAATGAAAGGAGGAGTAATTCCTTTTTTGAAGGGCATATCAGAATTGGGAGGCAAAGTGAAAAACCATTCTGGTAGATTCTACAATGCCAATCCCTCCTCCATTTAAGGATCACTACTCTAGGTAGACGCCAAGGATCTAGGTCTATGACTCCATTTGCCTTTATATAACAGAAACTTTTCACAGTGGACTACTTAAATAGAAATCTATGGGTATGCAGTTCGAGGCTGGATCAACTACCTGAGAATAACATCGAGGACCAAGATTGATTCCAGTTCTGGTTTTCTCATCCTCACCATGTGACTAACCCTCATGATCTAAGATGTCTGTTTCATCATCAGACATTACATCTGTGTTTCAGGCAGAAAAGCAAGGAAAAAGTGATAGGCAAGAAATCAAAGCCAGTGAAGTCTGTCCTCTTTTAAAGAGCTCTCCAAGAAGTTTCAGTCAGTGACTTCCACTTATATTTTATTGGAAAAGTGGGGAATTGAATATTTTAACTGAATACATTATTGCACCCAAATAAATCAAGATTGTGCTCATGATAAAAAGAGGAGAATGGATGATGAGTAGTCAGGCAATTAGCAGCATATGTCAGAATTTCCTAATTCAGTACAATTCATAGAAAGTTAATTGAGAAACTACTACACAGACACGGCTCTGGCACTAGAAATATATAAATGAAGACATGGACACAGTTCATATCAGAATGAAGAAGATCTGTGTGGTATCAAGATAGAACTTTCACACAGTTCAACTTGTGACTCAGAAGTGGAGCCATTTATCCGTAATCAGGAAATAAAATGTATTTTAGCAAGCTGATCTAAGTTTCAGATTTTCTGGAAAGCAAACTACAGGAAGGATCATTGTCTGATAAGAAGCCTATTTCATCATGAGTTTATTGTGACTTTCTGGAATCTTGAGAAAGATGCTGCTTATCATTAAGAGTAAAAACTAGTATGTAATAATATATACACAGTTTGAGTGATTTATTGAATTTTAATATAACACTAAATTATTACACAAAATAATAATAAGACTGCCAATATAAAAATCATTTCTCCTTTCTCTTTTGTAAATTTATTTAACAGAATTCAGAATTTAATCATTTATGCTGTGACTGTGCCCTGTATTTAAGTTTAGCATTTCAGGTGTAGGAAGGTGCCTTTATGTATTCCAGGTCTCCTGTTTGGAGCATGACCTTCCATGCTCTTTGCTAATCCCCATTTCTGGCCTTCTTAAAAAGCAACTTGCCTTGAAATTGTTTACTACTTACTATTTACAGCATCAGCTTTACTTTCTCAACATAGTTCACCTCTTTGGGTATAGAAGTCTTGCTTCTTTTTACGTATTACCTGATCTGATGCTCTGTCTGCCCCAAGTACCTATTAAGTGATGAAATAAGTAAGTGCATGCTTTCGGCAGCAACAATTCAGTACATTTCTTTCAGTTACTAATAACATTTCATATTTGTGCAACTCTTTACCCAAAGAGTTGTCTGAAGTGCCTTAAGATTATGGCCTGTGGGCCTCACAGCAATTGTATGAGAGAGCTGGTCAGAGGGTGGGGTGTTTATCTTCTCAGTGTTCATCAAGAAACAGAGGCCCAGAGAAGTTTGGTTGCTTAAGCAAGATCACAGAGACAGTAAATAGCAAGAATTAGGCCTTAATCCCAGCTACTTTCTCTCCCTGTTCTCTATCTGGTGCACTATGTCAAGTTGCCCCAGTGCTTGTTGGAGGGACGCACCTTTCCCTTCGGGCATTAATGCTGTCACATAGAGCATCTGTCCCCAACCTATTTGGCACCAGGGACCAGTTTCATGGAAGACAATTTTTTCACATATGGGAGTAGGGGGTGGTTTGGGGGTAATTCAAGTACATTGCCTCTATTGTGTTCTTTATTTCTATTAGTATTACAATGTAATATATAATGAAATAATTATACGACTCACCATAGTGCAGAATTTGACAGGAGGCGGAACTCAGGTGGTTTGTGAGCGACAGGGAGTGGCTATAAATACAGATGAAGCTTTGCTTACTTAAATGCTGCTCACCTCCTGCTGTGCAGGCTAGTTCCTAAAAGGCCATCGACTGGTACCGGTCCATGGCCTGGGGCTTGGGAACCACAGATGTAGAGGACCCAGAAGCCCATGAGACCTAACTCAAATCTGATACTGTGCATATTACAAGTGACCCAGGAGGCTGCACCCACTTCACCTCAACTTGATGACTATAAGCTTCTTACCACCACCTTCAGGGCCATGTTTGAGTTTTAAATAGTGGGACAACTTATGCTGAGCATTTAGAATCTGCTGCAGGTGTCCAAGAAGAAAAGAAATGAGCAGACAGTATGGAAATGCCTTGTCCAGATTCACTCTAGAGGCCTCAGACTGTAACTCCAAAAGAGGAATTCCCTTTACCCCTTGTTGGAGCTGGTGGAGCTTAGAAGGCAAACTAATGAAGCCTCTGAACACCAAAACATACCTCCTGTCCTTGTTCTTGTAACTGTCTCAGGTCAGCCAAAGTGGGATTTCCTTGGAAGACAGCCCCATGAGCCCCATCCCACCACACCTCCTGGCCCCGTATGAGTCTAACTCCATTATTCATGTGCAACACAAGCAACACCAGGAAATGAGGAGATGCAAATATTCAGGTCCTCTCCCATTCTAAAATGATTGCAAAACATCTGTTTACATTATTGAGAGGAGACTTGGAGAGGACATTTTATGAGCTTTTAGATAGGGACAAGTAAATACATGAGGGAAAAAAAGGGGGGAACAAATACCATGAGAGAAAATTACTCTAGACGAATGTATTATATTTATTTATAAATGGCTCATGTAATTTGGGACTGATCTCATAATGCACAATGATCAGAGTTTGGTATCTAAAACAAGTTAAAAATAAAATTTCTGCCATTGGACTCTAGCATAGACATTTTTTCCCCAAGGCATAAGATCTTTGGAAATATCCCTTGAAAATGTGGGGACTTTTTATTTACATGCTAAATTAAAGTTCCAATTTTCATAGGCAACACATAAGATTTCCTTTGGGAAGCCAGAGGCCTTTCAAGAACTGCAACTCAGCATTGTACTGTTAAACTGCTTAAGACATTTTGACATTTTCAGGATATCATTAAGAAAAAAGACAAAGAAGTAAAGAAACCTGCGTTCTTATCTCTATTCTGTAAATAAAAGGATAATCTGACACAAGACTCTTCACTTCTAGGATTCAAATTTCCTTACCTGCAAAGCAGAAGGCTGCACATTAGATGGTCTCTAAAGTCATTTCTCCTCATCAGTATGATTTATTAGTTATTAACGAGTAGCTGAAGAACCATGGACAAATATCCATGAGGCCAGGTATTATCACTCCAAGCCAACTAACACAGGTCCTCTTGTAATGCACATATTCTTTGTATGAACTTCATGGAAATCTTACCTCATATCTTTAGGTCACTGCTTTCCGCTGTTGGCTGCAGCCTCTAGGTTCTTTGTATACTCCAGTGTTTCTATCTGAGCCACTGGACTTTGACATGTCTATTTATTCTCTAAGATTGGTGACAAAAATGAATATTTATTGAGTACCTCCTATGTGCCAACCACTGAGCTAGGTGCTAAGGAATACAGTGGTGACAAAGCAAACAACATCTCTGTTTTCATGGAGTTTACATTCTACTGGAACTGAACAAAGAAATGCAAAGAACAAATGAACTATCTGAGCGAAAGTAAGTTAGAAAGGAGAGGAAAGCAAGGCAAATACCAGGTGGAAGAACAAAACATTTGAACAAGAAGATGGTGAGTTTCTTTCAGAACATTCTTCTCCCCAGCCTATTAATAGAAAGGGGTTGGGGGCATTGTTAGTGCCTGAAAGATAGAATATAGCTCATTTGAAATAAATATCTTAAGAAGTCACACACCTGAAAGACTCACTGGTTTTGCCCTAGTCAGGTTTAGTTACAGGTGTGCATGTTCAGTGCAATGTAATTTTGGATTAAGCAAAGTTGGGAGTTTGCCAGGTGAGGAAAAGAGGCCACAGGAGTTGCATGTGAGTCTAAAACCTGGTGTATAGGGAAAATAAGACAGAGTCTGCTAAATTGGGATCATAGTATAGTAAATACATTGGAAAAAATGAGGAGATGGTGGTCAGAAAATGGAATCTTGATATCATGATTTCAGAGTTAAGGATATTATGGGTGACGTCAAGTTTTTGAGAATGGCCGTGGGAGGGAATGACTAACATTGGGTTGAGGCAACAACTATTACAAATGAAGAATTCAAGGAACCCAGAGGTCAGGTCCATGTGAGTATTCAAGCTACTAAGAATAAAAATTAGCATGGTGGAGAGGAAGAGAATGAACCAGGTGCCAAAATCATCAAAGAATGAAGTAGAGTCACTAGAAGGCATTGAGGTTAAAGGGGACAGTCTTTGAGCAGTAGTGCAAAGGAGAAATGTTTTGGAAATGGCAACAAGAAGAAGGAGGGTCTTTAATCCAATCTCCAGCCTCTGTGGCCTATGGGATCACCATCTGATAAGGCTCCAGTGAAGTCTTATCGAGCCAAGCCAGGCTTCCATTAGAGTGAAAAATGAAAGAAAGGCTTTCTGAAGGTAGATGACATCAGGGACAATATCATTTTGCAAATGACTAATATTAAATTCCATAGGACACAGTGAAATTCACGGGAAACCCAGAATTGGCTCAGAGTATGAAATGTACAGAGACATATTAATAATGAGTCCAGAAGCTTGGACTTGTCAAGAGGGACGTAAGGAAAGATGGAGTTATTCCTGATGGTCTGTTAGAGGAAGGTCTGGGAGCGGACCTAACAATCACCGTCTTCTGGGTCTAGCTTCATAGTCAATTCACAGCAGTAAGATGGGCAGTGGAGGGGTGGTCTTTTCAGGAGCTCGTTGAGCTTTGGAACAACAGCAGAACTGAGGAGGGTGGTCTTAACAGGAATAATAGGAATTCAGTAGGCTCCTCGTATATATTATAGCAGATTCATTCATATTTCCTGAACCTGCTCCAAAGAGATAGTTAGATAAACTTATTAAGGTTTAAACAAATACTACTAATATAAACACTATGGCCTGCCCTAACAAGGAAAAATATCCCAATTAATCTTGCCATCCTATGTGATTTAAACATTAGGTATTCAAGGACTAATGGAATTACAGAAAGATGTTATAAAGATATCTCACATAAGTAATGTACTTTATAATTTTAAAAATTCTTTAAGATATTTTATTTTATGTAAGCCTCCTAACAATCCTAGGAAGTAGGTAGGGCAGGGTTTTTTAAAAATCTCCATTAGAAAGAGGAGGAAATTGAGGGTCAGAGAGGTTAATTGACCTGCTCAAAGGTACACAGGTAATAGGAAAACTAGGAGTAGAAATTAAGTTTCCTGGTTCTACGTTGTGTGTTCTTTCCGCTGTAGCACACTGCCTTCTTTCAAAATAGTCTCCATTCAGCTCAACCCCAGACCTTTTTGGGTCTTCCTGTACCAATGGTTGTCCAGGAAAGTCTTGTAGTTAACTTAGTCATCACCCTTTCCTGGGATACGGTATCATCAGATGCAAACTATTTTTACCATTTTTTCCCTCTGAGTTTACAAAAACAAACTTTCTATTTCCAAATCAGACTTAAAATTAATTGCCCTGTTAAGCACATATATCTGCAAAAACAGTAATGCTGTGAAGTAAATCAAGTGAATTCAAAAATTCCCTGCTTTCTGTCTCTGTATATTTTTGTTGGCTCAGAATGTAAGCTGTGGAAATTCCAAGACTTCCATATAAAAAAATTATAAAAGCTTGTGATTTGCCATATTATGGCTAAAAGAAAACTTGAGGAGAATATCCTGTTTTTGAAGCCTTTGTGCCAGGATAAATAGGATAAATCCTAAATGATTAAAATGCCCAAAAAGGAAATTGTAACACAAATATTGCATTGTCCTTATGGAGATTACAAATAATTTCTAAAAAGTCCCCAGGCAGGATTTTAAGAATCCCAAAGGAAATAATAAAGAAATAAACAGGAGGAAATGCTGAATGCAAAAATGGAAGTAAACAATTTAACCTGAAAGATTTCCCCATTTGAAGGATTCAGGCATCTACCAATCAGTGGGCTCTATTGTCTTTTCTACCCCAGGGCTGAGGCCATCTTTGCTTCAAATGACAATAATCTCCACAAGCCGGCAGGCACCATGCAGCCTGGCATTTCCCATGCTCCCTTGGGATTCTGCAGAAGAAATGATGGAGTCCAGCAATTTTGTCTTCTTCTCAGGGCTATTTTTAAGTTTTATCAAAATATGATTACTGCACTTTTTTTGGGGGGGATTAGCAAACTGGATAAAAACTTAGAAGTAATTGCACAGTGTAACTCATCTTCAAAGCCATAACTCCAGAAAGACTATAATGAAGGTCTGTTGGAGAAAAGTCCAAGACCATAAATGAGATGTTTGTGTGGGAAGGGATGTGAAAATCATCTAGTCCTGTGATTCTCACCCACAAAGTGGTGATCAAGTATGAGTGCTATCGCCAATAATTTATTACTAATAACAATGTGCTGCCTTTTGGAAATGATTTGTTTTTTAAAAAAAAAATGAGACTAGACTCCAGGTAATTCCTATGACGATGTCATCATGCTTACCCACTTGCATTCTGAATTGCTTTCTTGGCTGGAAATAAAAAGGTAAAGTTAGAACCAGCTTGCTGTCGATTGCTCAGAACCCTTAGTCTGTCTTATGGATGGCACAATCTGTAAGATAACCAACATTCTGTTAATTATTATAGCTGTTGCAATGAGAAAAAAAAAGTCTACAATATTTTGTTTTGCATCCTTGTAAAATATTCATGGGTTTCACCCAATTCTTGTTTTGTGAATGTGAAAATCATCCACTCTGTATGGTAGTGAAGAAAAATTTGAGCACCTCTGATCAAGCCCAACCCCATCAGATATAAATGCAGCCAACAGTGACTACCTGGACCACAGAGAGCAGCAGAGCTAGATAGAGCTGGAGATCCAGGCCCACGGTATCTGTCTTTCCATTAATCTCTGGTGACACCAGGATATCTACTTAAAGGGTTACCCGTTAAAATTCAAATAATTTTGAGTAGTTCCTTGAAAGTCAGCAGGAGAAAAGAATGCATGACCATTTCAAGGACAAGAACATAAAAATAATTCTTTAAGGAACAGAAATGCAAGGAGAGTAAAGCAGATAATAACAATTTATAGATTGTTGCATTTGATTTGTTGTAAAAAAGGATAATAACATCTAAAATAGTTCAGAGTAGTACTTGTAGCCACAGCACATCATTTCTTTGTGCATTCAATAAGTCTATTATCTTATTCACACATTATCCCTGGGAGATAGGGCCATTTTACAGAATATAAACAGTGAAGAGGGTTTTTGGTGTTTTTCAGGATCACAGAGCTGGAGGCAGTTCAGTGTAGCCACTCCTAGTTCCACCACTTCTTTTTTAAACAACCTCAGGCAAGTTATTTTGCCTCTCTAAGTTTTGTTTTCCCCATCTACAAAATGGGGATAAATATAATACTGATCTGATAGGATTTTATCAGAGGTCACACGAACTAGTACATGTGAAGTCAGAAGCACATTTTATGGTAAATAGAAAATACTCAATATCACCTACTCGCAAGAGAAAAGGTGACACTTTAATACATATTTGAACTCTGATTAGTGATCTTTCTCCATTGGATTCTGCTAAACACTGATGAAGCACCATCCAAAATATATCAATCTTTTTATTATTTTAGGCTGATTATATAAACTGGACAATCTGTAGTTTTGAGTCATAAAGAGAGGAAAGGTGGGGAAATTGAGTGACTGTATGACAGTTTGCCCTCTTCTCTATTTTCTGGGTTGATGTCTTCCTCTTCTGTGTGGTGATCACTATTGGAAAATGGAATCTTCTGGAATCAGAAATAAGAGGTCATGGCATCATCTCAAGGACTGCCACCACATGCTGTGACCTGGGACAAGGTTGACATGGAGAGATTCAATAGATCACTGCCTCCATGAGGAGCATATGATGTTCTGTTAAAGGCCGTTCTCCAAGTGTGGTCTCAGGACCAGCAGCATCAACATCTCCAGGGAACTTGCTAGAAGTACCAACTCTCAGACCCTATACTCCAGATCTGCCAGATCAGCAACTCTGGGGGTGGGGCCCAGCAATCTGTGTGATTGTGATCCTGCTAAACTATGAAAACCACTGGTTTTCCAAGGGAATCCTGTTTTCTTGCCAGGCTATCCAGCAAGGACAATCAGGAATGCATTCCTGTGGTTCAACTTGCCTTTTAGAACAGAAACTCCACGTGGGTTACTAGTTATGTTTCAGAGAATAATAAATCACAGAAGAAGTATCAAGATGATAGGAAATAGTATTTTATGTTCTTGATCCAGTGAATTATTAATAGAAAAGGAGGGCAATCAAAGGCATGATATTTTAAGGTCCCAGTGTAGTTCGTTTATTCTCTAGGTTTAATAGCCTAATGTTTTTTTGAACTGGACAAGGTCTTGGCTTTTGTCTACTTCATCTGAAGCCCAAAGGAGTCATCACCTTCCCAAACACATAACGCTGTTTGCAGCAGAGAAAGCAACTAGAACCCAGGTTTCTGGTCTGAATTAGATCACTGCTTTTTCAGTATACTAATATACTGTGCTACTTTTTGAAAAATAAGGCTATCATGAACATTGAGGAAACCTAAGAGAATTTTTTTTCTAAAATTCTAATGTGGCCTATCAGTTAACCCAGTTTTCTAGTTTTGTTTTTTGTTTAAATAGGATTTTTAAAGACATTTGCTTAAGTAGGTGGTGGCATTGCCATTGTCTATAGGATATGATTGTCCAAAAAAGTTATGAAGGAAATTGTCCTAAAAGTCACAGGATGAGGTATAGGGTAGATGTATTGAAAACCACTGAGGGAGGTGATCAGAATCTCTTATAGGTAAAGGCTTACAGTGTTTAAAACTTCCCACTCCCCAAATAAATGCACATACTCACATCCAGGAGATTTTAAGAAGAATTTTCTTCTCCCCTCCCCAAGTTAAGATCAATCACTGCTCTTAATGAAGCAAATTTCCACCATGAATAATGGGATGCATTCTCCCTTATAAGCAGATTCTTTGAGTTAGCATCGAAATTGCAACCCTTGTAAAAGACAAAAATGTCTATATGAGAATGTCTGGAATGACTGTATCCGTCTTTCTTGAGGACTGAGAACCTCATGTTGATAAGAGAGGACTTGTAGCACAGCCACTGGGGCTGCCATGTGACAGTATCATTAGAGTGCAGAGGTTTTGTTCAGAATTAATTACATTTAAAACAAACAAAACAATTCATACATAATGATTGTGTGAATTGTAAAATAGATTGTTCTAGCACTTAGTTATCATCGAGTATTTATCAAATATTTTTCAGGAATCTCTCATAAAGTGGCTTTACTTCATTTCCTTTTTCCCAGCAGATTTAAACTTATTCCCCCTTTTCACAAGCCCATCACCTTCCATATGTCTGACATACAAAAGGTGTGGATATAAAGCTGTATTGCCCTTGCCTTAATGGACCTTCAGGCACCAGCCTTCTTGGAGATTCACCTCTAAAACCTGTGCCAGCAAGTTGCAGGCATTCCCTTGTCCTTGATTTTAATGCAGAGGTACTATTTCTAGGTTACCAGAAAACAGTTAAAGAAGGCCACCAGAGTTACTGTCAGCCAACAGGAAACTTGTATGTCCCACATCATTAGCCTAACTCTGAGTCACTGTTTACACCATATTCACAAAGGAGGGAGTGTTAGCCCCTAGGAAATGTGGTGCAATGAATACAATCCCAACACTTTTCAATTTCAGGGTAGGATAATTTTGTGGAGGCAATGTGATGGGGTACAAAGAACAGAGAAGAACGCAGTAGTCAGAAAAGAAGAGTTCATACCTGGGGTCCATTTTGTACTCGTGGAGTGACTGTGGGCATCTCACTTAATGTCTGATTCTTCCATGTATTCACCTGTAAAATATGGTAATAATAATAATACCAACCTCATATAATAAAAAGTAGTAAAACTTCGAATGTTTTAAATATATTTTAACCTGCAATTTAACCAGTGATTCTACTCTACTCTTAGGTATAGAGTACAAAGAGATTCTCACACAGTTGCTAAAGTGTCATGTGTGTGGTTATTGGCTTCAGCATCATCTGGGGTGGGGTAACTAAAGATACTCTAGGTGCACGTCACTGGGAGAGTGTGTGGGGAAAACGTACTCATTGTGTGGTGGTTAGAAGCAAGGGACAAGATGTACACACAGCAACAAGGATGGATCTTAAAATATGGTCTTGAGCAAAAGAAAACTTAAAAACAGATGGAAATATATAACATGATATTATTTATGTAAGTTAAATGTACATAAAACAATATGCTTTTTACAAGAACACATGCAAACAAAAAGATGCACATCTAATACTATAGAAGGACTCCTGTGGGGAGGTGGAATGGGAATGAGGAATGGAAATAAAATGTAAAAAATTAAAAAAAGAAGGCCTTGCTTTGACCAGTGATAGTAGTGTGCCATGAACTGAATCATTAACTCAATTCTCTGCATCTGATGTCCAGAAAAGGAAAAAGAACTATTGCGTAAATGATATTTGCTAAGAAGACAATTGTTGTCCCCCACTCCAAACTCTTTGTCTCTTTCTCTTGACACTTCCATTGAAGTATTTTCCTTCCCCTGGTCCTTATTCAACTATCATATTTCCTCTATTAAAGAAAATGATACAAATAACTCATTTATATTAAGTTTTTGAATGCCACTGTCTTATCCAATAAAATACTAGTTTTATTATTAGATAGAAAGAAACGCTTAAAATAAAGGACTCACCCCCTCATGGTGAAATGTAAGGCCAAGGCAAACAGGTGGACTATTTGGAAGAATGGAGGGTATTCCCCAGAGCCAAGTCAAACACATCCAAGGTCCTCAGAAGTCAGTGACTGTAGATTGAAAATTTGGATAGGCTTTCATATAATTAAGGAAAGAATACCACAAGTGGGTGTCTATTCTCTTATCTCTTTGAAAGTTGGCTCCAATTAAAAGTTTTCAGGTCAAGGTGATGCCCTGACTGGTCTGCCCCAACGCACACGTGGATTATTCAGTGAGTACGTCTACTTTAACCTATTAACTCCTTTGAGATTTTGTGAGGGGTGGAGGTGAAAAGAGAGATGAAGTAGAGTTGGAAGACTTGAGTAACCAGGACCTGGGGGTAACAAATAAAAGACCAATTAAGGTAAAACACAGCTTACTGGAGGCACCATCCAGTAAAATCTCTCCACCAGGCCCCATCACACTGCCTAGTCATCTGATTTCCCTCCACCAAGGAAGTTAAGGAGTTACAGCGAGAGGCCCTCTTTTATGTATTAACAAAAGGGCAGGTGTTTGTAGGTGTACTGCGGAGGAGGCTTCTGACGTTTCTTCTTCTGTGGATTATGTTTAACTTGTCACCCTGTCATCTTTCTTTTGTGTTTCTTATATTCCCTCTTTAACATTTTCACCTTGTTCTACTGACTTCTTTGTTCGACAAGATGTTAAGGGTCATCAAGCTTTCATAGCCATTGTCAAGACACTGTCATTTTGTCAGGAAAATCAGTCACTGCAATTGTCCCCTTCTACCTGGTGACTTCTTTGTGAAGTTTAAAGTGTTGCAGACACTCTTCTTGTTCTTAGCTCAAGCTTGATTACTCAAGTCTCCCAGGTCTTGCAAGGCAATGAAGAAACATCTGGCCTGCCCACAAGAAGTTTATCTTCCCAAAATAGTTTACTAAGACCACGAACAACTAATAACATTACTATCTCCTGTTCTATTTTTTTTTTTTTTCTTTTTTGCTTTACTTGATTTAGGAGCATTTCTGTAGTAATTATTTGGCCAACATGCTCTGTGGCTTCTAAGAAAAATCTTTCTTTTGAGTTGTCAGTTGCTCAAAAAGTAAACAATTTAAAAACACCATTTATGCCTGGTATACTGCATTAAGTGGTTGGATTTAATTGCAATCATTTGTGGGAGTTTAAGTTCTATTATGATGTTCAAGTAAGAATAAAATTCAGTCTATATCATTTGCCTGGATTTCTTGTGGCTCAGTATTGCTCGGTGTTTCTTGTAGACGCAGAGAAATGTGTTGTTGGCCAGGCTGGGTGCTGCTAGTTGCTCTAACCAGCCACAAGCCAGCACTAGAAATTAAAGACACAGGAAGGATGTTTTTCACTTTGGGTTTCTAAGAAAATACCACTGTAATTTATGGAGCCAAAGGGAAGAATCGGTAGATGGATGATATTTCATAATAATAAGAGCGGCTGTTGGCAAATGTATATAACCTTCTCTTGTCACCTTCAGGAGCAATTGAGATAATCAGGTTTCCTTAAATGCATGTCTACTCTGGTGCATGGGCCAAAAATATACAAGTCTTTAAAATCCCTGTGGTTCAAAGTATAATCTTAATTGGCCCTTTCCCCTCAGCTAGATTGGTCAGAAAAAAAGCTGTGCCAAACAAATTCCCAGAAAATCTATGCAACATAACCAAAACATCTGCTGTTTTTAAATAATTTTCTCTGTATTACCTTAATAATATCTTACAATAAAATTTTAAAAAATGTTATTACAGCTTATACTATAGTAAATACAGGGGCTGCTAGATTTTGCCACCAGCCTTGATGTCACCACACAAGTGATAGGGAAGAAGATGGCGCTGAAATACTAACGAAAGCATTGAAAGGTACCATTGGAAGGCAGTAGTGTTGCAGTTAATGGAGATGACTGGGGGAGGGTGAGAGTGGGAAAGCACGGGACAAGGGTTGGAGAAAGCTGCAAAACATGGCTGAGAAATAAGTAGAGGGAGAGATTTGGAGTTGTGCTCTTTTCTCCCCTTCTTATTGCTTTAGAACGGCTGTTCCCATTTGCTGTTTTGCCACCACTCGGCAGTAAAACAGCCAAGCCAATGCACTACTGGCCAGAAACAACGGGGTAAGGAGAAGCCAGTGCCAGTGCCGGGAGAGAAGCAGATACCAACAGATGCAAGGGCAACAGCTGTCCAGAGAGCCCCTTCCACCCCTCCCCCGCCTCCTTCTACATGCTGAGGTCGTGGTGGTTTTGTAATGTGTCAACTTGGCTAGGATGAACTATGTTTCCAAGAATTCCTGTTCCTGTATTTCCAGTTAGGGTTAAAGATTTTTTTGTGCAATACTGGAGAGTGGAAGTGAAGCAGCATTCAGATCATTATTTTTACACTCAGAAACACAGGGCATGATAACCAGGGACTTCTGAAACTCTCACATGTTGTCACTTTGCTGGCTTATTTCACAGCTATGTAAAGGATCCAACTTGCCCTGCAACCTCTTTCGCCTTTTCTGCCTCATGGATGAGATGTGTTTGGCTCCATGACAAAGGGTTCCAGCTTCTTACTGGCCTGAGTTCTAGTGCATCACTGTTGGCTCCAGCTCCAGCTTATGTGTTCCAGTATGCCCTTGCTCTCCATAACTTTACACCCATCTTTCCTTTCTGACTTCCTTCCCTGCAGACTTCAAACTACAGTATCAGACATAAAGACAGCTGCCTTACAGAGACTGTTTAACGAGCTCAACTGTGTAGCTTTGAATCCCAGAACAAATCTTTTAACTTAAAAAAATAGATGAATTTCCTTCTAGCGATTCTACTTAGACTAATACAGAGATCTAGAATATTATAAGCAAAGGAAAACTCTTTTAGAAAGAGCAGTCCCCTAGGTGAATGCATGATATATTTGTTGGAGAACAAGGTCAATTGTTTGGGGGAGAGGGAATAGCAAAGAAGTTATGGAAGAGTTGGCTCTCCTCCCAGGATGACTTCCCCACCCTACCCCTATTCCTTAAACTTCCCCAAAAGGTCACAGTGAGAGCCTGGAATTAAACCCTTTCTTAAAAGTTAATTTATACTTGCAGGGGAATATGAGCTCACAGGCAAACTAATGAGACATCTGATTTCTATACCAGCATTAAAAAACAAACTGAAAAATCTATACCTGAAAAATCAGGCCTAATAAACAAGAGAGACAAATGATTTAAAATGATTAATAGCAGACAAAATATATGAAACAATGGTTTTCAAGGCATTGGAATCAAACAATGAGTGACAGTGACCAGTGAGATATGGAAAACAAACATGATAAACCCTGAGATTTATAATCATCTTCAAAAAGATGAGGAAGATAAAGTAAAAGCAAGTACTTGTATAGTATAACCAAGTGGAAATAAACTCAATACATAGTATGATAGAAGAATAGATACAGTTCAAAAACAAATTAGTGAGCTGGAAGATGAGAGTGAAACCCCCTCTATGAGGGCACCAGAAGGAAATAAAGTTGTAGAAAATGTAAAAGAAAATTAAGAGACAGGAAGAAAAAATTAGAAGAGTTACCATTCATATGGGATTCAGAGAAAAAGAAAGAAAAATAATAAAAAGTAAAGAAAAATATGATGGAATATAGATCAATAATACCCAGAATTAGAGAAAGATATAAGACCTTGGAATGAAGGGGCTTATAAAGTACAAAATGATATAAATGAGAAAAAATCCTTTACTTACGTATCCTCTAGTAACATATTTTTCAAAAACTGAAAGGTAAAAAAAAAAAATTAATGTTACTGGGACAAACTGCATTTCACCTATAAAAGGTATCAAAATTGACATCAGATTTTACAACAGCAACCTGGATGCAAGAAAACAATAGATATTGGTTTGAAGGGAAAGAATTTTAGTCTTCTACTTTCACTATCAACTACATTATTTTTTAAATGTAATAGAAAAATAAATGTATTTAAAGCATATAATGTCTCAGAAGTTTGCTACACAAAAATCTCTTTAAAAACTGTTAGAAGAAAGCACTCTAGCAAGAAGAGCAAGAAATCCAGAAGAATGCTATAAAATACATGGTGTTTTAGATACTTAGTACTGCATAATAAATCACCTCAAACCTCAGTGACTTATAACAACCACAGCATTTATTTTGCCTATAATCTGCAAACAAGGCAGGGCTCTGGGACAGCTCATCTTTGCTCCACTTAGCAGTATGGCTCAAAGGCAGTGTTTAGAATGACTTGAAGGCCCACTCACTCATACTTGGGCTGAGAAGACTCAATCAGCTGGTGGTTGGAAGAGCTGGAGCTCCCTGGGTATCCCAAATGTGATATAGACTCTCTATTTTATTTTCCCAACACAGTAGCCCTAAGGTAGCCAAATGTGTAACATTGACTCAAGACCCCCAAGGCACGTGTCTCAAGAGAAAAAGCCAGGCAGAAGTTGTATTGCTTCATAATCTAGCTTATTCTGTCTTGGCTGTCAGGAGCTATGAAGGGCATGGGATTTTACCTTATTTGCAAGCTAACAAATTAGCCTGTGACAGTATCATGGATGCTGGCAGAAGGTACAAGACTCCTGGGGCAGAGACAAAGGATAATTTATTACTCACAACAATAGCAGTAGACAAGAATAAGCATTTTATGCCACCAATTCCTTGAGCCACAGGGTGATGCAAAGGGGGCCAAAAATCAACTTCTCACACACTGGGTGCATTATAGAGGAGGAACATTGAGCTTAGGAAACCTAAAAATATTATACTGGACAGTAAACGTGTGTTCATTGCTCTGGGGAGAGATGCTATTTTCCAGACTTTAAGTAAACCCGCTCTTTGTTACAGAGGGAGACACTACTGTACATTCACTTTATACAAATATTCTTCAAAAGATGGTCTGGAACAAAAGTGCTAATGCTTTTTGCTTGAAAGACATGCTGAAATCCATGAGATCCGTGGAGAATTATTTCTCAGGAGTCTCATTTCTACTGCATTCTATTTGTTAGATGGATAGTTACTCTCTAAGGAAGGTTGAGTCTGATTCTAACCAAGATGGAGTAACAAGGGCCAGATATACGCTCCTGTTTGAAACAACAACAACACAAAACTGAACTAAATATGAACAAAATATATGAAACAGTGATTTTCAAGACACTGGAATCAGCCAATGAGTGATGGTGATTCCTGAGATAGGAGAAACAAACATGGTGAATCCAGAGATTGCCCCAGCTGCTGACTTGACAGAGCTTTAAGGCCTTGGCACAGGGAGAGGAAACTGAAGCAGACCCCAAACAAAACATTTTCTGACATAGAGCTGAGAGCTCCGGGAGAGTAAGGTGGTTAGTATTCCTAGGGCAGAGTACCAGAGAGGAGAGAGCTGCAGCCAGAGACCCAGAGGTCTGAAGAGTGACCCTCTTGAGAATTCAGCACGGTACAGATCAGGGCATGTGTGTGAGGAAACTACCTGAAGTAAGAAAAGAACCACCAGAAAAGATTTGAAGACAGGACAGTCACCAGAGGTTACACAAGCATAGCAAGAGTGCCTATTCCCAGGAAATTTTTGTAATTAATGAGACATTACCCAGAGTACTCAGAAGTGTCCTGCCTTAGTAGTGGTGAATAATCACTCTAGAATAAATGCTGTTCTGGTCCCACCTAGCAAATGTTAAGAAAATTGTTATAATTATGTTCTATATGTTTTAAAAGCTAGGAAAATATAAATGAACATGTTAAGTAGAGACATGGAAGATATAAAAAGGAACCAAAAGAAATTTCTAAGCGGTAAAAATGACAACGTGTAAGATGCAAAATGTACTGAGAATGGGATTAATGACAGATTAGAACCGCAGAAGAAAAGGTTACTGAACTCAAAAATACAGAAGTAGAAGCTTTCCAGAATGAAACACAGAGCAGGGGTAAAACCTAAAAAATGTGAAGGACGCACCAGTAAGCAGTAAGGACAACTTCGAATAGCCTAATATACATACAAATGGAACATCTTTGGGAAAAAATGAGAAAAAGATGCGATAGAAAAAAATATTTGAGGAAATGGCTGGGTTTTTTTTTCAAATTTGATTAAAACTACAAACTCACAGATCCAAGATTAATTTCTTAATTTTAATGAATTACCTATGGTTATATAATAGGTTAACAAATGGAAAACAGGCAAATGGCAGACAAAAATTTTCCGTAGTATTTTTGTGAGTCTTTTGTAAGTATAAAGTTACATCATAAAGAAAAATTGCTATATAATGTAAAAAAGCAAGAGCCAACTGTATGCTGCCATCAAGAAACCCACTTTAAATATAAAGACAAAAGTAAGTAAAAAAATAAAAGCATACAAAAAAGATACTGTTAGCAGAAATTGAAATGAAGAGTGGCTACACTATTAATAAAATAGTCAAAGTAGATTTCAGAGAACAGAATATTACAAGGAGTAAAGAAGGTCATTTCATAATGATAATAGCATCAATTCATAAAGAGAACATAAATATCTTTTAAACTTCTAAGCACATAATAACAGAGCTTCAAAATATATGAAGCAAAAGCTGTTAGAACTGCAAGAAGAAATAGACATCCACAATTATAGGCAGATTTTTCAATCACCCTCTCCCAATAATTGGTAGAATAAGTAGAAAAACATTAAGAACATGGAAAATTTGAGAAAGATTTCACCCCTAAATTGCTAAACATAGATTGTTTTCAAGAATACATGGAACATTTACTGAGACATACCATATTCTGGACCACTAAACAAATCTCAATGCATTTAAAAGGATTCATGTCATACACACTATTTTCTCTAACCACAGGGGAAATAAATCAGAAATTAATAAAAGATCTCTGGAAAATCCCCCCAAATTTGGAAACTAAATAACACATTTCTGTACAACACAATGGGTCAGAAAAGTAATTAATGAAGAAAGTAGAAAGTATTTTGAATGGAATGAAATTTAAAACACAACATAAAATTTTGTGGGGTCCTACTAACACAGCATTTATAGTATCTATAGTTCTAAATATTCTATAGGTATTAAAAGGACAATGAGAAAATAGTATAAACGACTTTATACCCAAAAATTTGACAACTTTGGTGGAATAGACATATTCCTTGAAAGACACAAACTACCAAAGTTCACTCAAGAAGAAATAGATAAAGTGAATATCCCTACATTATCCAATTGGCTTCACTGGTTCAATATACCAAATATTTAAAGAAGAAATGATACTAATTCTACACAAGCTCTTCCAGAAAATTGAAGAAGAGAGAATAGTTTCCAATTCATCTATAAATCTGGCATTACCATGACACTAAGACTAGAAAAAATACATTATAAATAAACAATTATAGACCACTATCTCTCATGAACATAGATGAAAAAAACCTAATCAAAATTTAACAGATCATATCAATAATCTATAAAGAGGATAATACATTTGTGCCTAAGTGTGGTCTATCTTGGGAATCCAAAGTTGGTTAACTATTCCAGATTAATCACTGTAATTTACCACATTAAAAAACTAAAAATGAAAAATCATATGACTATCTCAATAGACACAGGAAAATCATTTGATAAAACCTAGCATTCATTCCTGAATAAATACCCTCAGCAAACTAAAAAATGAAGGGAATTTCCTTAACTTAGTAAAGATCATATTCAAAAAAACTATAGCTAACATCATACTTCATGGCGAAAGACTAAACACTTTCCCCTTAAAATCAAGAAAAAGCCAAGATGTCCACCATTTCTATTCTACATTGTATTGGAGGTCCCAACACTAAATTAGGCAGTAAGGAGGGAAGAAGAAGGCATCCAGATTAAAAGGGAAGAAATAAAATTGTCTTTATTCACAGATGACATGATTGTCTATGTAGAAAGTCCTATGTAATAGACAAAAATAGAGCCAATAAGTAGGTTTTGCAAGGTTGCAAATATAAGATCAATATATAAAGACAATTATATTTCTATATACTAGAAATGAAGGATTAGAAATTAAAATATTAAAAAATCATACAATTTATAATACCATCAGAGAACATCGTATTTTGCTACACACCTTGCTCCATGTATGAAATTTAACTCAAATGGATCGTAAATCTAAATGTAAAACCAAAGCTATAAAATTTCTAGAAGAAAGCATAGAAGAAAATCTTTGCAGATTTGGGTTAGGTAAAGATTTCTTAGATGCTATACCAAAAAGAATAATCCATAAAAGAAAAAACTGGTAAATTGGACTGTATCATAACTAAACTTCTGCTCTTTGAAAGATAACTGTCAAGAGAAAGAAAAAACATGCCACAGACTGGGAGAAAATATTTCAAATTATACACCTGATAAAGGACTTGTTTTCAGAATATCATTTAACCATATCAAGTGTTGGAGAGGATATGAAGCAACTGGAACTCTCATATACTGCTAGTGGGAATGCAAAATAGGTCAAACACTTTGGAAAACAGTTTGGCAGGATATTTTTAATTAACAAAACTTAAACATACACATTGTATAATCCAGCCATTCTACTCCTAGGTATTTTATAAAGAGAATGAAAGCATATGTCATACAAAGGATTGAACATAAATGTTTGAAGCAGCTTTATTTGTAATAATAAAGATCTGGAAACAATCCAATGTCCACCAACATATGAATGAATAAGCAAATTGTGATATATTCATACAATAGAATACTATTGAGCAATAAAAAAGAAATGAACTATTAATATACATAATGTGTATGAACCTCAAAATAATTATGGTGAGTGAAA